CGAAGGTGTAGGGAGGCAAAAACTAAGTGCACTAGAGAATGGAAAAGGAACAGAAGGCAAAGGACCCAGGAAAATAAGGACATTAGTAGAAGAGCCAGAAACGAGTATGCACAGATAAGGAGGGAGGCCCAGCGACAGTTCAAAAACAACATAGCATAGAAAGTGAAGTCTGACCCGAAACTGCTGTATAGCCACATTAGGAGGAAGACAACAGTCAAAGACCAGGTGATCAGGCTGAGGAAAGGTGGGGAATTCACAAGAAACGATCAAGAGGTATGTGAGGAGCTCAACACGAGATTTAAAGAAGTATTTACAGTGGAGACAAGAAGGACTCTGGGAAGACAGGACAGAGGGGGACACCAACAAGGAATACACCAACAAGTGTTGGATGACATACACACAACTGAGGAGGAGCTGAAGAAGCTGCTAGGTGACCTTGATACCTCAAAGGCACTGGGACTGGACATCTCCCCATGGGTCCTTAGAGAGGGAGCAGAAATGCTGTGTGTGCCACTAGCCACAATTTTCAATACATCCCTTGAAACTGGGCAACTACCTGAGGTATGGAAGACGGCAAATGTAGTTCCCATTTTTAAAAAATGAGACAGAAAAGAGGCACTAAATTATAGAACAGTGTCACTGACGTGTATAGTATGCAAAGTCATGGAGAAGATTATTAAGAGGAGAGTAGTGGAATGCCTGGAATGGAACAAGATTATAAACGACAACCAGCACAGATTCATGGAAGGCAAATCTTGTGCCACAAACCTTCTGGAGTTTTATGATAAAGTATCAGAAGTAAGACAAGAGAGAGGGGTGGGTTGATTGCATTTTCTTGGATTGCAAGAAGGCCTTCGACACAGTTCCTCACAAGAGATTAGTCCAGAAGCTAGAAGATCAGGCGCATATAACGGGAAGGGCACTGCAATGGATCAAAGAATACCTGACAGGGAGGCAACAACGAGTCATGGTACGTGATGAGGTATCACGGTGGGCGCCTGTGACGAGTGGGGTCCAACAGGGGTCGGTCCTAGGACCAGTGCTATTTTTAGTATATGTGAATGACATGATGGAAGGGATAGACTCATCTGTTCGCAGATGATGTGAAGTTAATGAGGAGAATTTAGTCAGATGAGGATCAGGCAGGACTTCAAAGAGACCTGGACAGGCTGGACACCTGGTCCAGCAAATGGCTTCTCGAATTTAACCCCGCCAAATGCAAAGTTATGAAGATTGGGGAAGGGTAAAGAAGACCGCAGACAGAGTATAGGCTAGGTGGCCAAAGACTGCAAACCTCGCTCAAGGAGAAAGATCTTAGGGTGAGTATAACACCAAGCACGTCTCCGGAAGCCCACATCAACCAGATAACTGCTACAGCATATGGGCGCCTGGCAAACCTGCGAATAGGGTTCCGGTACCAAAGTAAGGAATCTTTCAAGACACTGTACACCATGTACGTCAGGCCCATACTGGAGTATGCAGCACCAGTTTGGAACCCACACCTGGTCAAGCACGTCAAGAAATTAGAGAAAGTGCGAAGGTTTGTGACAAGGTTAGTTCCAGAGCTAAGGGGAATGTCGTACGAAGAAAGGTTAAGGGAAATCGCCCTGACGACGCTGGAGGACAGGATGGTTAGGGGAGACATGATAACATACAAAATACTGCGTGTAATAAATAAGGTGGACTGAGACAGGATGTTCCAGAGAGAGGACACAGAAACAAAGGGTCACACTTGGAAGCTGAAGACTCAGATGAGTCAGAGGGATGTTAGGAAGTATTTCTTCAGTCAGAGAGCAGTCAGGAGTGGAAACAGTCTGGCGAGTGATGTAGTGGAGGCAGGAACCATACATAGCTTTAAGACGAGGTATGATAAAGATCATGGAGCAGGGAGAGGACCTATTAGTGTTCAGTGAAGAGGCGGGGCCAGGAGCTGAGTCTCGACCCTTGCAACCACAATTAGGCGAGTACAATTAGGAGAGCACTGAAGGGGAAAGCCCTAAATCCGCAGGGGTTCACACAGCGCCTGAGGGAGTGTAGTTGACAACCCTGTTCAATCCTAGAGAATATAAAATATATATAATTATATATATATATAATTTTATATATATATATATATATATATAATATAATATATATTAACAAATCCAATGCCCTGAATCAAGAGCCCTCCACCAGCCTTAGTGCGCCCTCTTAAAGGGAATTATTACTATTAGTATTAAATTTATCAAAAAATTTTAAGCGCAGAACCCACCAAAGGTCATAAAACTATTTTTGGGCGAGTGCAAACCCCTTTGATTTGGATAGGGTAACAATCCAAGGAACTGGAGCGCTCTATTAAACGGGGAAAACAGCGCAATACCCTAAAAAAAGATTTTAAGCTTAAAAAAAGAAGAAAAAGTCAACCAAAGCCATTATTAAAATGTCTGGAGAACAAACCAGCCCATATTAAAAGGCTGGAGAACAAAGCCAGTCATATTAAAATGTCTGGAGAACAAAGCCAGTCATATTAAAATGTCTGGATAACAAAGCCAGTCATATTAAAATGGCTGGAGAACAAAGCCAGTCATATTAAAATGGCTGGAGAACAAAGCCAGTCATATTAAAATGTCTGGAGAACAAAGCCAGTCATATTAAAATGTCTGGAGAACAAAGCCAGTCATGTTAAAATGTCTGGAGAACAAAGCCAGTCATATTAAAATGGCTGGAGAACAAAGCCAGTCATATTAAAATGGCTGGAGAGCAAAGCCAGTCGAATTAAAATGTCTGGAGAACAAAGCCAGTCAGGTTAAAATGTCTGGAGAACAAAGCCAGTCAAATTAAAATGGCTGGAGAACAAAGCCAGTCAAATTAAAATGGCTGGAGAACAAAGCCAGCTGAGCTGGAGTAACTGGGGTATAAAGCCAGACATATGTGACTAGCGAAGGAAGTGGCTTACAGTCACGGAATTCTTTCTCTTCTTTAAAGCCAGTCATTTTAACGTGACTTGGCGAACAAGGTCAATCAGACTGAAGTGACTGGTGAACAATGCCAATCAGACTGAAGTGACTGACCAAAGTCAGTTTGAAACGATTGAACAAACCAATTAAGCTTGAAATGACTGAACAAAGCCAGTCAACTAGAAACGACTGAGCAAAGCCAGTCAGTTTGAAACGACTGAACAAAGCCAGTCAGTTTGAAACGACTGAATAAAGCCAGTCAACTAGAAACAACTGAACAAAGCCAGTCAGTTTGAAACGACTGAACAAAGCAGGTCAACTAGAAACGACTGAACAAAGCAGGTCAACTAGAAACGACTGAACAAAGCAGGTCAACTAGAAACGACTGAACAAAGCAGGTCAACTAGAAACGACTGAACAAAGCAGGTCAACTAGAAACGACTGAACAAAGCAGGTCAACTAGAAACGACTGAACAAAGCAGGTCAACTAGAAACGACTGAGCAAAGCCAGTCAGTTTGAAACGACTGAACAAAGCCAGTCAACTTGACACGACTGAACAAAGCTAGTCAACTTGACACGACTGAACAAAGCCAGTCAACTTGACACGACTGAACAAAACCAGTCAACTTGACACGACTGAATAAAACCAGTCAACTAGAAACGACTGAACAAAGCCAGTCAACTTGACACGACTGAACAAAGCCAGTCAACTTGACACGACTGAACAAAGCCAGTCAACTTGACACGACTGAATAAAGCCAGTCAACTAGAAACGACTGAACAAAGCCAGTCAACTTGACATGACTGAACAAAGCCAGTCAACTTGACATGACTGAACAAAGCCAGTCAACTTGAAACGACTGAACAAAGTCGTGACTGACGAAGAAAGTCTTACTAACATGACTCGGAAACACACGCAGTCATGCTAACTTGACTGAGGAAGAAAACCAGTGTGGGACTGTGATGAGAGGAGGAGAGACTGGGTTAAGAGTGAGAGGAGAGGAGCGCCGGGGACAAGCCAGCAGCGTCCCTCCTGGGGTAATCAAGCCACGCCGCTCCAACGTCTTTCATTTCAAATACAGAATTAAAATTTTTAAACCACGGTTCTTTTATTAGTGAAGATCCATTGTTATTCTTATGTTTTATATCTCGGAATTTTATAAAATTTGATTTGCATTAGTGAAATTAAACCTTTATGCGGAAATATATTTGAAATGTTATACATACGTTTATTCGCAGTTTTTTATATAAACAAGTTGTTTTATTTAATTTAAATTTTAACGAGAATACGCGAAATGTACTCAAATTACAGCACAATTTTATTTTTTATTGTGACTTTATGTACTACATGTATATATGTAATGCATATACGTTCAGGTTGGCTTGGTGTACGATGATCCTCAACAGCATACGTGAAAATCCCATTTATTACACTTGTTAGCGATATTATGTAAGTTTACTCAGGTACAGGTACACGTAAACACAGTTACATAAATTATCATACACAGCAGCGTGTGTGTAGATTACATTGGTTAACCCAAAAAAGTCAAAGTGACTTATTTTCATCAGGGTCCTTGTAATTTCTATTGGGGTCCTTGATTATTAGTCCGTTAAAGCTGTGAAATATGTACATTTTAATACTTTGAAAGACTTTTGTTGTATTGTTGTATATATATTTTTTTTAATTTTCATTCTTTTGTTGTGGAAATAAGCTGCTTAACGAAGCGTTATTTTCATAGGTTTCTCTATGTTCTAGCGAATGGTTGCTATATATTATGTAATTTATCGAATATATGATGATCATGGGATTATCTAATGTAAGTAGACGCATACCGGCAGTGCTTATGGATTTCTGATATAAAAAATATATGGTGCAGTTTATCTAAGGGTTTTTCTAAGGGTTTATCTAGGGGTTTATCTAAGGGTTTATCTGGGGGTTTATCTAAGGGTTTACGTAGGGATTTATTTAGTGTAAGTAGACGAATACCAGGAGTAGTTATGGGATGCTAGTGTAGTGATAATGTTATAGTAGACGAGGTGTATGGAAGGTACAACAATATATAGCTTGAGGTACAATAGGTAGCGGGGTGGGGTGAGCGTCACGTTGTTGACAGTCGTCACCGAGTAGCCGCACGTGTGCTCCCGCCGCTCTCATCACACCAAGATCTTGCTTCCACCATGCGAGGAGGAATGGAGAAGTCATTTGTGTGGGGTGAGATAGTAGCATTCGTTGAACACTTGAGGTGTGAAGGTAGTTGGGAGGTGCTATGAGGTGGGGTTGGGGTTACAGAGGCGAGGTAAAGTGCGCCGGCCTGATGCTCCTCATCGGCTTCAAGACGCCCGTTACTCCCTCAAAATCGAATGGCAAAATTTTGGCTGCAAATATTGATGGTGCTGTGCATGTTTGACCCTGTGTAACTTATAGGGGCTCCATATTTATATGTTTTGAGGTCCCGCGTTAGTGAGGAAGTCCGTGTTGACTATTATATACATAAATTTGACCAAATAGAAAATTTGAATCTTGAATCAGGTAGTTCTTTCTAACGCTGAATGCTTATCTTAGCAGCTTCCAAATTTATGAACCTTTATACGAGGTGTGTAAGAAGCATGGTTGAGAGCTTAAACATAAACCTAAAAATGTAATCACTGCATTAGGATCCTCAATGGAAATGTCACATTATTTGAGTATTGGGTTATCTTAGGTTAAATCGACATATTGTTCATTTAATGTTTTTATAATAGCTTATTGTATGCAAAGCCTAAATAAAAGTTTATCAGTACTTAGTGGGTCTACTGGTTTGTCCTAGGCACCTAACCTTTCTGACTTGTGTTTATCTAACATCTTTAATCTACCCAAAAAACTAAATAGTGTGATGTTACTGACGGAGCTCGATACGATGTAGGACGTTGGTGGCCCCATAAACCCCAGGCAGAGAGTTCCCATGTATATACATTAATAAAAAACTGCTAGCACTTGTAAATACTGTATATTAATTTTGTGGTGGTAGACACCATCCAAACTTGGCCCTAGGCCAGCCTTCAGTTGTTTACCTGGTTGTAGGAAAATAGGATACCTTTTAAAGGTACTGTTGGAAGCCCATCAAAAAAACTATTGAAATAAGACATTTATGAAGGGGTTCAGTGCAATAGGTTAGCTGTACCTGAGATCTGCCATTGGTAAGACACTTACGAGGGTTATTTGAATTGATATCTGCACACAGCTGATAAAGTAACTGTTGAATGAAAATGATGTTTCCTCTTTTGGCTCATCCCATCTTGGTGGGAGGCTGCCAGAATGATTTAAAAAGTGGCTAAGAACTAGCGTAGAATGAATTTTTCAAAATTTTCTCTAGGGGGTCTTGACGAAGTTGAATATCATAATTATGCTATACATTGTACAGGAGGGCCCAGCTTTACAGTTGTTTGCTAATACAGCAGTTTTTAATTACACCCAACTCTTCATTTATTCAGGCTTCCCACAGTAAATGTATTCACCACTCGCTATAAGCTAAGTATGAAATATTATAAGGCATGTAATGTGTGTACTGTATATATGAATTTTTTAGGCCTTGCTCTATTGCTCACTTAATATATGTTAGCGTAAATGCGTTATCAGGCTATGTTTCATTTTACAGCGATTTTTGCTTTACAGAAGTAGCCCAGAGCCTAACTTACTGTATAAGCAGGGCCCTCCTGTATAGAAAGTCACTTTTGAATACTCAGGAGTGTTCCAAAACCTAAATTTTACCCTTGACTACCTCTAGTGTCAGCCCATGATTTAGAAGGTTTGTTTCAGTGATGTTATAACTTGTTGTTCAGGTTTTCTCTACATTCTAACAATACATTGCAGTTGCAATTATACGTTTTTTAATTAGAGTATGAAGAATGATCCCAATAAAATGTTACGCCATTTCTAATTATTATTTTGTATAGAAGGCAGAAAAGTTTTTGACTTTGCTATATCAATATCATGTAATATTTATGAGATTTTAAAACTTTGTAAATTTCAGTATTTACCGTACTTCTATAAGGCATCCAATTTACACATTACTGGTGTTACTCAGGTGTCACACTTGATGCTGCTCACAAGGAACAAAAATGGGAGGGCACAGCCACCGAAAATACTGTGGACTGCACAGTTACAACTCATACATTATCTGTAAGACAGGTAAAGTATTCCTTCCCCCATCCTTTTTTAAATCCTGTCACATAATTTGTATGAAGTATAATATTATTTGCCAAGTATTGTTGGTTAAATATTGACAGATGGATGACATTTAGCTTGAAATGTACATTGTTAATTTGCTTGGTGTTGCACACAATTAAGTCTACTTCATTTTACAGGTTGTATTGAGTGCTGCTGCCAAGGAGGGAGAAGTTAATGTAGTAGAGCTGGAAGTGTTGGGTTACAACGATAAGAAACAAAAGATTCCTATTTGTGTTGCAAAAGCAGGGGGCTCCTATGTCACAAATGTAGATGCAAGTATCAGTTCTTCTTAGTAGATGTTAGTTTTATAAATAGGGCAAACATTTATATTAGGCTGTTCTAAAAGTATAAAATAATTTCCATACATTACTGGCACAGTGTACCGTTTTCTTTAGCGGGGAGTGCCTTGATGTTTGCGAAGGGCTCGTGAGCTAAAGAATTGGGCCTGCCCTTTACTTCCTTGGATCAGACCTCATTACCTCCCATTTTCTAGACACTGACCCCAGAGTGATAGGCAGTGATAGATTGAATATCAGATTGGAGAGAGAAAGTTGGGGGTTAATATGTCAGCAGATGGGTCTATGAAAGATGAGGTGACCCATGAAATAGATGAAGGAAAAGGTTGGTGGTGTTTACCTGGAGAAGGTTTCGGGCGTCTATGTCCCCGAGGCTCAGTCTGAGACCAGGCTGTTCACATCTGAGAGGGAGGGGGGAATTGTAGAGGCAAAAGGGAAAATGTGCCAGTGTATAGTGGCACCAACACTTTTGTGTGGGTGTAAGTTGTAGATTTTGAACTTTGCAGTAAGGATGAGGCTAGAGGCAGAGATCTTAGGTATGAGAGCAGTGTGTTGTGTGAATATCAAGAGTATTCAGAGTGAGTAAATTAAAAGGTGATGTGGAGTCACCAAGGGTTTAGTCAGAGGGTTAAGGAGGAGTTGTTGAGGTGGTTTGCACATGGAGATGGATAGGTTGGACTTAGTGTATAAATCTTAGGTGGAAGGTAGGAGGGGTTTACTTGGAGAGGGTTTCAGGGGTCAACGCCCCCGAAACCAGGTCTGAGATCAGGCCTCGTGGATCGGGTAAGGGTTTTCTCAGGAACAGTTGGAGGGAGGAGGTAAAAGAGGTAGAGTTTTAGGAGCTTGGGCATCCAGCATACTTGTGCAAGCATTTTAAGAGTGAATGGAGACAAATAGATTTTGACAGATGGGCTGTTGGAATATTAGCAAGACAAGGGGTAACTGGTTAGCTGGACTCTTTAATTAAGCCCTGGAGGTGGGATGGCCAGTGCCTGCACTCTAGTGGGGTGGGGATGTTGCAGTTGGAGGTTAATCCGAATTGAAAAAATCAGTGCACTTCTGGTAAGACAGTGAGTGAATGAATGATGGAGAATGTTTTAAGTGGGTCACCCATGTCTAGGCAGGAGATGGCCATTAATGTAAAATAAATATATACAGATTTTTTTTTTTTTTTTTTTCTCAAGTCGGCCGTCTCCCACCGAGGCAGGGTGACCCAAAGAGAAAGAAAATCCCCAAAGAGAAAATACTTTTCATCATCATTCAACACATTCACCTCACTCACACATAATCACTGTTTTTGCAGAGGTGCTCAGAACACAACAGTTTAGAAGCATATACGTATAAAAATATATATGTATTGGTAGATAAAAGACTGTTGAGTAGACTTCAGGATGTACATGTTTATAGAGGGGCCATAGATATATCAGATCACTTTCTAGTTGTAGCTACACTGAGAGTAAAAGGTAGATGGGATACAAGGAGAATAGAAGCATCAGGGAAGAGAGAGGTGAAGGTTTATAAACTAAAAGAGGAGGCAGTTAGGGTAAGATATAAACAGCTATTGGAGGATAGATGGGCTAATGAGAGCATAGGCAATGGGGTCGAAGAGGTATGGGGTAGGTAGAGTGTTCAGCAGAAGTTTGTGGTTACAGGAAAGTGGGTGCGGGAGGGAAGAGGAGCGATTGGTGGAATGATGATGTAAAGAGAGTAGTAAGGGAGAAAAAGTTAGCATATGAGAAGTTTTTATAAAGTAGAAGAGATGCAAGGAGGGAAGAGTATATGGAGAAAAAGAGAGTGGTGAAGCAATGTAAAAAGAGAGCAAATGAGAGAGTGGGTGAGGTGTTATCAACAAATTTTGTTGAAAATAAGAAAAAGTTTTGGAGTGAGATTAACAAGTTAAGGAAGCCTAGAGAACAAATGGATTTGTCAGTAAAAAATAGGAGAGGAGAGTTATTAAATGGAGAGTTAGAGTATTGGGAAGATGGAGGGAATATTTGAGGAATTGTTAAATGTTGATGAAGATAGGGAGCTGTGATTTTGTGTATAGGGCAAGGAGGAATAACATCTTGTAGGAGTGAGGAAGAGCCAGTTGTGAGTGTGGGGGAAGTTCGTGAGGCAGTAGGTAAAATGAAAGGGGGTAAGGCAGCCGGGATTGATGGGATAAAGATAGAAATGTTAAAAGCAGGTGGGGATATAGTTTTGGAGTGGTTGGTGCAATTATTTATAAATGTATGGGAAGAGGGTAAGGTACCTAGGGATTGGCAGAGAGCATGCATAGTTCCTTTGTATAAAGGCAAAGGGGACAAAGGAGAGTGACATAATTATAGGGGATAAGTTGTTGAGTGTACCTGGTAAAGTGTATGGTGAGTTTTTATTGAAAGAATTAAGAGTAAGACTGAGAATAGGATAGCAGATGAACAAGGAGGCTTTAGGAAAGGTTAGGGGGTGTGTGGACCAGGTGTTTACAGTGAAACATATAAGTGAACAGTATTTAGATAAGGCTAAAGAGGTCTTTGTGGCATTTATGGATTTGGAAAAGGCGTATGACAGGGTGGACAGTGGGGCAATGTGGCAGATGTTGCAGGTGTATGGTATAGGAGGTAGGTTACTGAAAGCAGTGAAGAGTTTTTACGAGGATAGTGAGGCTCAAGTTAGAGTATGTAGGAAAGTGGGAAATTATTTCCCAGTAAAAGTAGGCCTTAGACAAGGATGTGTGATGTCACTGTGGTTGTTTAATATATTTATAGATGGGGTTGTAAGAGAAGTAAATGCGAGGGTCTTGGCAATAGGTGTGGAGTTAAAAGATAAAGAATCACACATAAAGTGGGAGTTGTCACAGTTGCTCTTTGCTGATGACACTGTTCTCTTGGGAGATTCTGAAGAGAAGTTGCAGAGATTGGTGGATGAATTTGGTAGGGTATGTAAAAGAAGAAAATTAAAAGTGAATACAGGAAAGAGTAAGGTCATGAGGAAACAAAAAGATTGGTGGGAAAATGGATATCAATTGGAGGGGAGATAGGGGGGGTAAAAAAGTATTCAATATTTAGGAGTATTGCAGGGGGAGGGGTCTATGAAAGATGAGTGAACATAAATTGATGGGGGAAAAGGGTGAGTTGCACTTAGATCGTGGAGGCAAAGAACTTGTCCGGAGGCAAAGAGGGAATGTATAGTATTTTTTTTTTACCAACGCCTTATAGGGGGTGAAGCAGGGGAGAATTGCGGCGGGGGAAAAGGGCTGGGGGCAGGGAATGTCATGCTGAGGGCAAGTTGAGGGAAAATATAATCAAGAATTCGTTTTTTTAAATTAGGAGGAGTGCGGGATTACCAAAACTGTTTCCAAGGGCTGGGGAAAAGGGTTTGTTGAGGTGGTTCGGACATGTAAGAGAAGGGAGCGAAAAAAGGTGACTTAAAGAGTTTATCATCGTAGTGGGAAGGGCGGGTGGGGGTCTCCTAGGAAAGGTGGAGGGGGGGAAAAGGGGGGTTTTGTTGCAAGGGGTTTGGGACTTCCAGCAGGCATGGGAGCGTGTTTGATAGGAGTGATGGGGACAAAGTTTTTTTTAAAACTTACATCCTGTTGGGGTGTGAGCAAAGTAACTTTAGAAGGGGTTCAGGGGAAAAAAGGCAGGGGGGACTTAGTCCGGAATGGGAAGTACAGTCCTGCCCTGAAGGAGGGGTGTTTAAAGTGCTTTAAAAAAAATGTAGTGTAAACCCCTTTTGCAAACAGTGATGGAGGAAGGGTGAAATTTTTTTTTTTCGGGCCACCCCGCCTGGTGGGGAAACGCCCGTGTGTAAAAATAAAAAATAAAAAATATACGTATAAATATATACAGTGGCCCTCAATAATCGACCGGGGCCCGAAGCGCCTTTTTGGAAAACAACCGGTTTTTTCGACAAAATATTGACTCGGAAAAAAAATTTTTGGGGGGGGGGGGGGGGGGGGGGCCCAACCCCCCTCGCCTTCCCCCCAGCCAGTTTGCCATTGTTTACCATTAGCGGGGGTCCCCCCCACGTGCTCCAGTAAAATTTCATATTTCATTTATTTTAGTGCTTGCAAGTTTTTAAGTGCTAAATAAGCTACCATGCTCCAAAGAAAGCTCCTAGTGCCAAACCTTTGGTAAAGAAGGGGAGAAAAACCATTGAATTTAAGAAAAACATCATTGAACAATTGATAGTGGCGTACGTGTGGGCGAACTGGCGAGGATGTATAACAAAAATCATTCAACCATATCTTCCATCATAGCCATGAGAAAGGAAATCAAGGACACTGTTGTTGCAAAGGGGGTAAATATGCTGACAAAAATGAGATCACCAGTACTGGAAGAGGTTGAGAAGTTATTATTGGTGTGGATAAATGAGAAACAATTAGCAGGAGACAGTCTTATGACCTCGATTATTTGTGAAAAGGCTAGGCAGTTGCATGAAGATTTGGTAAATAAATTTCCTGCAAATAGTGGTGAAGTGAGTGATTTTAAGGCCAGCAAAGGCCATACACTAAGAAGAATCTCCAATAAAGGTAAGTGTTATGCTGTTAATGTTTCATTCATCATTTCCCATTGTATTGTTTATGTACTACATGACTATTTCATGTAAAAAAATTTTTTTGTTTTAATACTTCTGGGTGTCAGGAACGGATTAATTGAATTTACATTATTTCTTATGGGGAAAATTGATTCGTAAATCGACCATTTCGATAATTGACCGGCTTCCAGGAACGGATTACCGTCGATAATCGAGGGACCACTGTACGTATAAAAATATATACTTATAAAAATATATACGTATAAAAATATATACGTTTCAAAATATATACGTTTCAAAATATATACGTTTCAAAATATATACGTTTCAAAATATATACGTTTCAAAATATATACGTTTCAAAATATATACGTTTCAAAATATATACGTTTCAAAATATATAAGTATAAAAATATATACGTATAAAAATATATACGTTTCAAAATATATACCTCTAA